GGAGGGCTTTCTTGATTAGTTAACTGGATCTTGAATAATAATCCAGACATGATGCACACATTTATTAGCATTCTTTTGGACAGCTGTTACTTTGCTCTTTTGAAACTATATTACCACGGGGGAAACCCAAAAAAATATAAGAAACTTAAAACACTCATTGTTGTTGGAAAATTTTAAAGTCTTCAGGTTATAAAAAATCATAGCCATAAAGTTACACTATGTCGCTCCTTCTTAGACTATCAGAGACAAATAAAGATAACTCAATTTTCAGAATGGTAACCAAGTGCTGAGTACTAAAAATGCATTACACACTTAACAGAAAATGCAAGTTCGTCAAAATGTCAGAGAAAGAACAGCTCAGTTTTCACACCTATAAAAACAAAACACCATAAAAAAAACTGCCATTAAGTGAAATCACATGTAGGAACTTCAATGACAATTCCTCATGCATGCTACCTCGCTTACACCTCTGATGCGCTCTGCTATCACTTCAACCAACTACCTAGAAGAGTTATGTAATCCTTAGAGGTCAAGATAAATCAAAAGCCAATCGCTTACCACAAGAAGGGCCCAGAAAGAACGTACAGGTAATAATTACACTCGAAGGCTACTGACCATCTCCAGGCTCAATGCACTCACCGATGCATCGCGTATCTCTGAAGCAAGTCTGACCGGCACAGCTTACTTCCAAACGAACAGTTTCCTGACTGGCTACTTATTGTGGTTTCAAAGGGGGTTTTGTCTGATGTAACCAATCCTCTCATGCAATTGGCTTACAAGATTAAATTGATAATTTTGTTTCCTTAAATATTTTTTACTCTCTAAAAATAATTTCACTAAGATTTATATAAATATATTTGTATCTGCTGAGAGTTAGCTTCATCTGGAACTGAATACATACATACATACACATACACGTAAACAGATCAGTTTCTCAGGAGGTGCACAGTCGGCACTGTGGATTGGCTACTTCTTTGTTATGGGGTCTATCCTATGTATAACATGG